CTGAAGGTATCTGAGCTGGGCAAAGAAGGCTCGTGACAAGGAAGAGGAGGAAAAAATGTGTAGAATCCCCTTCACCTCCTTTTGCAAATGTCACTGCACTGCTTTTAGCACTGGTTCCCTCAGTTGGTCTGGCTGTAACCCCACCCTTTGAACTTCCCCTGGGTGGGGTGGTCCCAGAGTGAGTCCCGTCTCGAGTGATTCCTAACTCACAATATTTTCCTATATATCATGATTTTTCTACTTGTGCATGTGGGAAACTGATGCCCTGGACCTTATGCTAGATCCAGAGCTCTGGTGTTGTTCCGTGAGCTCAGCGTCTCTGGGTTTTCATTTCCTCCCCCATAGAGCCTTTCCTACTTAGCTGTCTCTGATGGCACTAAAACTGCTTCCTCATGTAGTGATTCTTTTTATATTAGAAAAGAAATTAGATTCCTGAACTTGAAGAAATCTGGGAAGCAGAAGTCCTGGCCTAAGCAGTGATTACATGATGTGACTGTGACAATTAGCACTCATCCTTAGATTACAAGTGAAAGATCCTTGGTAGTGGATAATACATAGAGTAGTGGTTCTCAAACTAATGTGGATAATGTGAAAGTCCACACCACACCTTTGTGACATTTCTGTGCCCCTTTGTTGTTGTTGTTAAGTGCCATCTGGTGAGTTTGAACCGAACTTGTGGACAAATGTTTATCCTACAGTGCCACACCAGGATTCCCTATACCCTTTGTTGTTGCTGTCAAGTGCCATTGAGTGGGTTTTGACTCATATTGACCCTTTGTAGGATTTCTGAGGAGCAACTGGTAAGCTTGAACCCCTGACCTTGTTGTTCAAACAAACCTTGCAGTCCATCGCATTAACCTGAAGCACCACACCAGGACTCCCTGTGCCTCTTAAAGATCTCTAATATCTTTGTTAGACTGTGCTGCTAACCTAATTCTACAGAAGTCATGGATCTGATTTGCTCCACACAATCCTGTTAATGTAACAAATGTATTTGTTGTTGTGTGCAGTCGAGTTGGTTCTGACTCATAGTGACCCTGTATAGGGTTTTCGAGGATCAACTGGTGAATTTGAACCACCGACCTTACAATTGTAACTGACCTTGAGGTTGAGTGCTTATCCAGGATAAATGTATTTAGGGTATGTCTTCTTATCCAGTTCATTAGTAGTGATTATACATTGCAGTGCCAGCATTAGGTGACAATCCTAAAGAAGATTTTCTTCTTATCAGTTGATCAAGGAACTAATATGGTATGGAGAATGAGAGTGTGCACAATTATAAATGCCAGAACTGTCAGCCTGCTTATAATTAGAAATACTTATAAAGGGTGATTATAATAATTAATAACATTTATTGAATCTTTAGTCTGTGTCGGATACTATTTTAAGAATTTTCAAAACTCTTTAATATGTGTTCTTAATATACCCATTTGAAAGATAAGATGACTAAAGCATAAAGAATTTAGGTAACTTATTGTAGTTTGTATAAACCCCAGGTGTTTAACATTGGAATTTGCACTCATGCTATGTGAATGCAATGTCTGTGAGTTCCATCATCTGCTGTAGCCATGCTTAATTTCTCCATTTCTTCATTAATGAAAAAAAAGCTCAACTTTGTAATACAGACTTTCATAAATTTATTATTGCTGTTAGATACTCTTGAGTCAGTTCTGACCCATAACAACCTTATCTCTACAGCAGGGTAAAACACTGCCCAGCCCTGTGCTATTCTCACATTCATTGTTTGAGTCCATTGTTAGAGCCACTATGTCAGTCCATCTTGCAGAGAGTCTTCTGTTTTTCACTGATCCACCACTTTTTTGAGCATGATATTCTTCTTCAGGGACTTGTCCCTCCTGAGAGCAAGCCCAAACTACATGAGACAGTCACACAATTCTCATTTCTAAGGAGCATTCAGCTCTACTTCTTCTAAGATTTGTGTGTTCTTCTAGCAGCCCATAATATATACTCAATAATCTTCACCTACATTATAATTCATAGGCATCACTTGTTCTTCAGTCTTTTATATTCACTTCCAGCCTTCACATGCATATGAGGTAACTGAAAATGCCACGGATTGGATAACATTTTTGTTTGTTTTATGTTGAGGTATAATCCATACTGAAGTCTTTGATCATCATCAGTAAATGTTTCAAGTTGTCTTGGCTTCCAGCAAGCAAGGTTGTGTCATCTGCATATCACAAGTTGTTAATATGTCTTTTTTCAATCCTAATGCCATGTTATTCTTCATATAAACCAGCTTCTCAGATTACTTACTCATCATACAGATTTAATAAATATGGTGAAAAGGTACAACCTTGACGCACAGCTTTCTTGATTTTAATTCATGTTTTTATGTTTGAATCACTACCTCTTTGTCTATGTACAGATTTTACATAAGTACAATTAGATGCTCTGGAATGTTCATTATTTGAAAGTTACCCATAATTTGTTATGATCCCCACAGTTAAATGCCTTTACACAGTCAGTGAAGCATTGTATGTCTGCTGTTTTTTGCTTGCAGTCAAGATCCATGTGACATCAACAATAATGTTCCTTTTTATACATCCTCTTCTGAATCCGGCTTGAATTTCTGGCAGTTCATTCTTGATGTATTGCTGTATCAGAAGATTCAGAGTTTTATAATTTAGATAATTTGTAGACCTTAAAAATATCATTGAGGTTGTGTTTTATCTTCATGTCCCATTCATATACTTACTCAAATGAATGATATAAAAATGAATAAAATATTATAAATTATTTCCTACCACTGGGGAAAAAAATCCTCCCTTTTTTCATTTATAAGTTTAAATTTCAGATAGCAACACTTTAAAAAAAAGTATTTAAAAATTCTTCTCTGTTACTCAGTACATTGTAATCTTGTAAAAAAAAAATACTTGGTAAGATGAAAATTCTTCTAAATTGACTGAAAGTTGGTTATATAATCTTGAAATTCAAATAGCTTGTGCTTGTACCCTACTTAAGATAAAGTATCTTGCTGTAGTCACCATTATTGACTGCAATATCCCCAACAAAGAAAATGCAGGTGCTGTTGACTTGTTGTACATTTGATTTTGTCAGTTGGATATGAATATAAAACTAAAATTCAAAGTGAATTAATAACCCTACCTGCTATAAAGCAGATTTACAGATTAAGAAGTATTGTGTTCATCTATTTTCATCTTGGAATCCTGGTGTGGTGTCAGAGGATAAGCACTCATCCTCAAGGTCTGTTTGAGCCCTATACAAAAGGGCACTATGAGTTGGAACCTATTCCATGGCACTTAACCAACAACAAAATTGTCATCTTAGCTAATTGGTTTATGCGAAAACATTAGATGCACTTGGCTTCCGTAAATTCTAAAGAAGATAGATTTATGGTATTTGGATAGATGTGTTCTATGTTATGCTCAGAATAAAGAAAGAAATTTAGAATGAATAAATGAAAAATGGGCAACCCAGAGGAGGCCCTATGTACTCTTACCCGGTCATAGAAAACTTTGCATAAGGAATTCTTAACAATGTTGATCCTAAACAATGATTTTGTTATTCCCTGTAGCATATAGTTTTAAAGAACTTTCGAAAGAATGGTCCCTAGCTGTGGATTCTTTAGGATAATGAACTTAGCAAACATCCATTAGCAAACATCCAAATATGGATGGTCAGTATATCGGTTGGATTAGAATCATCTGGAATATTTAAAAGCATAACATTCCTGGACTTCTCCTCTAGAGTTGCTGATGCAGGAGACCTAGAGAGATATGACTGGTTCTGTATATTCTCATAGACACCCATTGCTAAACATCAGTCTTGAGCAGTAGTTCTCTTCAAAGAGTATTTGTTACTCTCTGGAGATGTTTTTGGTTGTCACAACCTGAGTGTTGGGGTTACTAGCATCAGGGGAGTGGCAGGGAATCTTCTAAGTATCCTAAAATGTACAAGGCAAACCTATTACATAAGCAAATAATTATGTAATATAAAATATCAATGGTAATGAGGTTGAGAAACATTGGACTGGAGAATATAAAATGTAAAGGTATGTCCTCACAGAGCCCATAATTAATCAGTTAATAAAGATTTACCAAAAACATACTTTCATCATTGAATAAAATTCATGGCATTAGCCCTAAGAATCAAAGAAAAAATTTAAAAATTCATAAATATGTTGCCTCAAGGTTATTAGTTATTTTATCCTATCACTAGAGAATTTCCAGTTCAAAAAACATATGAGAGAAAATTCAAAGAGTTAGCTGCAACTGCTTGGATATTTATAATGGAAATTATTTGGATAGATTATGCCTGTGCTTTTTAGAGAAATAAAAAACTTTTACTTAATATTTCTTAACTACTTTAAATAGAACCAAGCCTTTTAGTGTCATTACATCAAGCAAACAACGTTAAATCAATTCTGAGGATACTCACTGCCTGCAAGTTGATTCTGAATCCTAGCAACCCTGAAAGACAGAGTAGAACTTAGGGTTTCCAAGATGATGAATCTTTACAGGGACAGACTGTCTCAGCTTTCTCCTGCTTAGTGGCTGGTAGATTTGAACCACTCTCCTTGTGATTAGCAGCTCAATACTTAACCCACTGTGCTCCAGGACTCTTTAATCTTGGCATAGTTCCTATGACTTATGATTGTCTTTTTCCCTTTTGTCTGCATCTTCCTTTCTTGTTCTGAGTCTGTCTCCTAATTTTTTGTGATCCCTAGAGATCAGATGCTCAGATGCAGGGCATATAATAAATTACTGGAAGTTATTTTGTTTGTTGTCAGTGCAGGGTTTGAATTAATAATGAAAACCAATTAAATCCTTAAATGCCTCCAACGGCAATGATAAAAATGTAATTTCCAGAAAGAAATAAAGTGAGCTATGTTAAACAACTTATGCAATCACGAGGATAACCAAATTTTCAACATTAGGAAATTCTGTTTTTGTCAAAGAACTGGCAGCTGAATGATTGAATCAAAATAATAACAAAAGAATCCATGCTCTTTTTAGCTATCTCTTGTGTTTCTGATGACAACCAGTTGGCAGAAATAATGGAATGCCTCAAGCAGACAAATGGCATGCCCTCCCTTGTGCAAGAGTGCACGGTTCCATGTCGTGATGACTGCACCTTCACTACCTGGTCCAAGTTTACACCCTGCTCAGGGAATTGTGAAACAACCAGAAGTAGACGGCGGCAGCTTACAGGTAGGTTGTGATTTTTACATAGTGGTATGAGGTGACAAGTTGTGAACTTCTCAGTGTCCCAAGTAGAATATAAACTCCAGAAGAACAATGTCTTTTTATTAATATTGTTTTGTTTTGTTTTCCTGGTATGTATTCTTGAACCTGGCATCATAATGGTTAAGTGCTTGGCTGCTAACCAAAAGGTAGGCGGTGTAAACCTCCCAGGGGCTCCATGGGAGAAAAGATCTGGCAGTCTTCTCCTGTAAAGACTACAGTCTAGGAAACTCTATGGGGCAGTTCTACTGGGCCTCATATATGGTTGCTATATCTTAGAATCAACTCAGTGACACACATCATAAACACCAAATGTATCCTTACTTACTACATTGGCATGGTGTATGGTATGTACTCAGTTAACATTTCTGAAATGAAGGAAAGATGTGAATAATTTTGTATTTATAAAGGTCCTCTCTTTATAGTCATAAAAGTCAAATTTCTCCCTCTTCTTTTGAGTAGTTAATGGCAAATTTTCTGTTGGTTTGTCATGCCGTCATTGATTTGTAAAGAACCTCAAAGGCAGATATAACCTATACCATTATCTTTTGCCATTATCTTATAAACAGTTTGACATTTAAAAAACTAGGCTGTGTATGGCAAAAATCACTTTACATTTATAGGTTTTCCTTTTAGAGTAAGATTGTTAATTATCAGTATTGTAAAGATCTGTAAAGTTCATGGAAATTGGAAAAATTTAAGATAGGGAATAATTTTTTTGCCTTCAATAAACAAATAATTGATGACTCTGTGGGTTAATGCGCCAGACCGCAAAGCCATTTGAACTGCAAGGTCGGCGGTTCAAGCTCACCAGCTGCTCCTTGGAAACCCTATACAGGGTCGCTATGGGTCGGAATCGACTCAATGGCGCTTGACAACAACAACAATATATGGTTTGTCTGCCAGAACTTCTCTTACCTGTGTGTATGTTTGTATGTGTAAGAAAACTGAATTTGGAGAACAGAGAACCAAAGGAAAAATGCTTAAATAATCACTGATAAACAAAATCTTGACATTTCTAAGTTAATCATAAATGATCATGTGTTTCGATAAGCAATTTAATATCAGTTCTCTTAGTTTTAAGATCCTGTAAGTGAATATTTTCTTTCTCTTTCACTTTCTTATTTTCTTCTTCCCTTCTTCTCCCTTCTAACACACATGCCAATAAATGGGTGGGCTCAGACTCTAAGGCTATGTAGTTCTTTCTCTGACACACCCATAGACACACATACAAACCAATTCACTCCAATGAATAGTGAGACAATCAGATGTTTTAATAGGTGGTTTTTTGTTTGTTTGTTTGCATTTTTTTAAAGTTTTTATTGTGAATGAGTGAAAGTTTACAGAGCAGATCATCAGTTTTACAGTCAACAAATCATATACTTTGTTTCATTACAATGATTATAATCCCCTCCATGTACCATCAGTATTTCTTTCTGTTCAATTTAGCTCTTTTTTTTTTTTTTAATTAAATGTTTTTA